GCCTGCTACTTAGATCAACTTCTTTTATTTTTAAGAGAAGTATTTTTAATAAGATATTCCTCTGTGTTTTTACAATTTCTTGTATGTATACAAAGTTTTAATATTAAATCATGGAACAAAATTCCCATATGGAAATGCGTTCTATTGAGAACAGAATTTGTTTCTTTTCTCATCATATATGTACACAAAAGTGTGGATAATTTGTAATGCCTTCATATATCTCTCTATAGACATGTTTGTTTAGTCCTGTTGTGTTGCAAATATAAAAATATGTAGAATTATGAGGAAAATTGGAATGCAAACGTAAGAACAAACAAGGTTTTGTATAACAAGTTTCACTGGATTTTTATTTTTCCACTGTAATCTACATGGGAACAAAAAACTTCTGGTTTACAGAAAAAAGCAAGTAAGTTTTAAGGAAGTGGGTTTTTAGGGGGAGGTAGTTTTTGCTTTGTTTTACATATGAAGAAACCAATTAATCTTCTGCAAAAAAATCTATAGACCATTTAGAATTTTTCAGAGTTGTTTGAAGTTTGAATTTTCTCCTCCACTGCATTTTAATCTCATTTCTAATCCCTTAGACCCCCTGATCAGTTCCTTAATGGCTTGCATTTGTCACAAACGCCTTGGTATTTTTGTTTTTATGTCTGAAAAAAAGCCATATCCCTTGCATGGAAGTGTGACTAAATATTAAGAAGTCCCAACGAGGTCTTTGACACTGTGGAGACTACTTCTTGTTTTAGCAGAAGAAAAATCTTTCATGAAAAAGCCATGCAATAACAGTACAATTTGCCTTGATTTCTTTCTTCTTTTAAATACTATTAATGTTCATGTGTTTTGCTGCCATGGCCTCTTAGTAACTATAATTAGTTTGCAATAGGATTTTCCTCAGCTTAGCTGGGTTCTGATGTGTGAGAAGCTAGATGACAGATGATGTGATGTGGGAAGGAAAGCTTGCCCAGCCTCTTGAGGTCATATGACAGCACATTTTGAGTACGGTCATACGACGGGATGGTGGAGAGCCTCCTCTACTACAGGCTGCTGCATGGGTGTCTGTCTATGAACCTTGTCTTTTCAGTAGGACCTCTCTGAGCTTTCAGGGAATCACTGAAAGTAGGAGTTTGCCAGCAGCAGGATGACCTGTTCCAAGCTGAAAGAAATTGCTGCCTTCGTAATGCCTGAGGTATCTGGGTGGGCCAGGAAATGTGAGGCATCTTGTGTCAGAGGGATGAGACATGGTAGATTTGTACCACTTACAAGTTAGGAATGAGGTATTAGCATTGCATTTTGCCTCCCTTTCGTTCAGTAGCGAGCTGTGGGGAGAGAGGAGGAACTGTAAGCATGAGGCCACTTGTGAGAATGGATCGTCAGGAGTCCTCAACCCAGTAGTGGAAAATCTCTGATCTGTGGTCTTTTCTGCTTTGATTTATTTGAGAAAATGTCCATTTGCCCCAAATCTGCACACTTCAAAAGTTTTATTTTCCCTTTTGTATTCCATAGGTCACTGAATATTAATAGCACAGAATAGCACTGTTTTCCCCAAAGATCTTTTTATTTTTAGACCTTTTCAGTATTTTATGGATCATGCTTCTAAAGCAACTACTTCCCAGTAGGCTAAAAAATGCAAAGGAAGAGACACGTCTACCTAAGAAAGACAACTCTATCTAGAATTTGTATCTATAAGCTTTGCCTAGTAGCATCTCCTACAAAGAGGGTATGTTTATGATGCTTTTGCAGGATTGCCACTTGGAACTCCATCTATACTTTAACCATAAAATTGTGAAATGAATTATGAAAACTGCTACTTCTGGTAGCTCAATCCTGGTTGATTTGATCAGTCTTTTTTAAAAGTGTGTTCATTACCAGCCTGTGTTCTGAAATTGATGGTGAATAGGAGCCTCTGAGTGATTGGTACTTGATTGAAATAGTTATGGTGTATATTTTTACAAAAATACTGATTTACACAGCATGGAACTAAAAGATCACAGAACTGTTGAAGCTGGAAAAGCCCTCTGAGATCATCAAGTCCAGCCTATGACCCAACACCACCACATCAGCCAGACCAGAGCACTAAGTGCCACATCCAGCCTCTCCTTAAACACCTCCAGGGACGGTGACTCCTCCACTTCCCTGGGCAGTGCATCCCAGTGCCTGAGCACCCTCCCCGTGAGGAAATGTTCCTACTCCCATTAGATCTCAGGAAACATTTTATCTACGCTGACTTTATTACAGATTGAACTTGTACAACCTGAAGCACACCCAGCCCCCTGTGTGTTTGTTTTTTTCCCTTCTTCAGTATGTATGTATTTCATACAAATCATATTTTCTCTCTAGCTGTTGCGGACTGGCTCTTGGCTGCAACATAAGGCCGATTACAGTGCCAGGAAATGTTCCTAGGTTTTCAGTTCAGTAGTAGCTGAGCAGCACAATTATTTTAGGAGATTAACCTTCATACTGAGACAGATGGAGCTGATCCAGTCTCCGTGTTTACTATAGAGGACTGACCAAACACACACGATAGCCACACCAGGCTCCTACGGTCTCTTAGCAACTGTCATCTGACAGCCGTTCCTGACAGGGAATTAAGATGTTTTTCTGTCCCAGCATCCCTTCAGACAAACCTCTGGGACTTAACCGGTGCAGGAAAAAAAAAATGAACAGAAGATTTCTTTCTTTTCTTTTCAGGACTTACTTCTGTGCTTGTTTCTTCTTTCTACTAGAAACACTTCTTATTATTTGTCTGGTTTCCATGACTTCTAGTTGAAAGGTTCTTTATCTGTTTATTGGGTTTTGTGACTGTCTTTTTTTGGTCTTTTGATTGAGTGTGACATATTACAGCAAAGCTGTTGTTTGTCATTGATATTCCTGGAATTTTAATCAGTTTTGAGGTTTTGAATTGCATGTATATGGAGACAAGTGGTACTTTGGCCAACTGATTTTATTTTAAATTCACAGATCATTGTTTCTGGCATTAGAAAGTCAATTCTACTAATTGACAGAGAATTAGCAGAGTGTGTATTTCCCTTTAGATTCCACCCATAACAAATATACTTGTTCAGTGATGTAGGATGTTGATATTCCCTGTTGATTTTGCTGTAGAATATATAGTTTTACATTTTATTTATCTGTACATCCTGACCTGAATCATTCCTGCCTGTGAGATTTCTAGGGTCTCACAGTGACTTTGTATACTACTCTCACCATTACCCACGCTTGTATTCTGGAGTTCTATACTTCAGTCATTCTTATTTTAATATTTCTTGATACTCAAGCTGTTCCTAATTGTTGCCTTGTAATATGTGTAGTGTAGGGCCTGGCTACACAGAGAAGATGGTGTGAACTGAGGTAGGCTAAGAAATAAAGCAGAACAGCTATTCCTCACTGAATGTCTTTTTTATCTTAATTCATTTGTAATGTGGATGGGATACTCACTGCATGGCATAAAAGTGTCCACATGAGAAAGTGTTATGAAATAGCTACTCCACGCTGCTTCTCCATATTAACAATTTGCTTGTTTGTCTCTCCAGCACAGCTGACAAAAAACAATCCTGAAATGTCACACTTTTTACATTCTCATGACCCGATTTTCATTCTTTATCATTCTAATAGAGCCTTAATTGGAGCCAGGAATATCTGAGAGGACTGGTTATACTGCAGCCGTAAAAATTCTCTTTCACTCTTTTGACCACCTTTCTTTTTGCATATTTTGATTCCCTATAAGTTTAATAAAGTTAATGCTTCTCTTTCTTTTCAGATTATTAAAAATACCATCTGCTGAAGGATCTTGTCTAGAATATTAATCAGCTATGATCTTTTCTAGCCTTGACAGGAAAAAATGTCACAAATTAATTGGTCAAGTGATGTTAATACTGCATGCTTCTGGAAGAATTTCACCTCTCAGATGTTTCATTTTAAAATCTTTGCATGTTTCCTTGCATGATCAAAACTGACTGAAGACCCAGTGATGCATATCAAGGGGCATATACTTTTGCTAACAGCCGTTCAGTTGATAGCATAATTTTGTTTTAATATCTTTTCTATAGTTGGTATGCAACAGATTTCTCCTAGCTGTAAAATTGGGAGAGATCATTTGGCACTTGTGCTGATTTCAATTTAGTTTAAAATGAAGTCATGAAGACTTCGTAATTTATTCCTGCAGTTTTGTCAGCTCGACAACATGTAGGCCAAAAGTGGAGAAGTTGAAGACGCTGACAATTACGTGGTGGGTAGGCCGAAACATAGGAAGAAGAATATTCTGTAAGAGATGACAGGAGAAACTATGTAGCACTCATACACTCTTGAATTTGTAGTTACTTCTTGATCTCTTCACTAGTCCTTTTTTTTTTAAGTTTTATTCTGTTCATAGTCAGTTAAGTGCTTTTGTAATCTAAAATCTTCCCATATTGATTTTATGAAATAACTAACAATTTAAGGAAATTTTGCTTTTTACTAGGAAACACTGAAATTTGCTGAAGTGTTTCATACTTTAGTGCCTTTAAGCTTGACAATGTAAGAAAATAGTTTAATTAAATATTCACATTTTTAAGTGATTTTTTTAAGGAAAACAAATCAAAGGCTGTAATTTAATATGGACTGTCTTTCAATTCTCGTAACAAATTTAGAAAACTAAACCCTCTTTTAGATTACAATGGCAACAATGTGTGTGAAAACCTTTTGGATTGCTATTCCATCATCAAATAGCTTATCACACTTTGCAAACTGTCTTCATTTGCTTAGGTCAAGCATTCCTCATAGTATTTTCTTAGCAGTTTATGTTCAGAAAGGTTAAGCATTTAGTTTCACTGTATTTCTCACTAGGCTTAACTTGATAGAGTTGTATTGCCAAGTTTAAAACTAATAATAGACGCACTATTATTACGTCCATAGTGAGAGAAAATATCTTTCAAAATTTGAAATAAGTGATTTTTTTCTTTGCTACCAGTAAATATATTACTTAGTTATATATTCTTTGTGTAACTGAGTTTTGTTGTTTGCATTAGAATCTCGTCCTTTGTCGCTTCCTGTGAAAACCATGCTGAACTCATCTGAAAGCTGCAGAAGTCCTGAAGAAAGAATGAAGGAATTTATTGGAATAGTGTGGAATGCAGTTAAGCGCCTTACACTTCAGGTAAGATGAAAAGGAAGTGGGGAAAAAAACCCCCTATTTAGAAAATAAACTGGTGAAAAAAACTCTTTTCAGACTTTATGATACTTTTTAGGCATCCTAGTGCTTTTTATTAGAGGGTTTTTAAAGGAGTTCCCAAGTTTTATTGTCTTATTTCAGTAGTTTCAAAGTCTTTTGAGAATGAAAAAAATAAAATATAGATTTTGGGTAAGCTAAGCAAAGAATGCTTTGGTTTTAGAATATTAGTTTTTGAAACACTTTTTTATGTCTGAGGGGAAGATCCTTGAAGAAAATTATGTGAGGAAAAAAATGCTTGTCACGCCTTTTGTGTGTTACAAGCATAGCTCTACATCTTTTTATCCATAGTTAGAGTTGCAGAAGACCTCCCTTTCCAAAAATATTTGAGCAAAGTGTGTATGATAAATAAAGTGTATTTGATAAATCCCAACTTTTCACCGTAGACTGCTTTAGGTTGTGCTTGCTGATCAGTGTATATGTGTGCTGTACACAAAAAGGCCATGTTAGAAGTCCAGTATTAAGACTGCATGATCAAATGCAAGACATTTAACACCATCTCCCACAGCATCTTCATAGGTAAACTGAGGAAATGTGGTCTGGATGACCGAGGAGTGATGTGGGTTATGAACTGGTTGAAGGGAAGAAGTCAGAGAGTTGTAGTCAATGGGGCAGAGTCCAGCTGGCGGCCTTGTGTCTTGTGGGGTCTCTCAGGGGTCGGTACTGGGACCAGTGCTTTTCAATATATTCATCAATGACCTGGATGAGGGATTAGAGAGCGCTGTCATCAAGTTTGCTGATGACACAAAACTGGGAGGAGTGGTTGACACACCAGAAGGCTGTGCAGAGACCTAGACAGGCTGGAGGGCTGGGTGGGGAGAAATCTTATGAAGTTCTATAAGGGCAAGTGCAGAGTTTTGCACGTGGGAAAGAACAACCTCATGTGCCAGTATAGGCTGGGGACTGACCTGCTGGAGAGCAGTGTAGGGGAAAGGGACCTGGGGGTTCTAGAGGACAGCAGGATGGCCATGAGCCAGCAATGTGCCCTCGTGGCCAAGAAGGCCAATGGCATCCTGGGGTGTGTTAGAAGGGGAGTAGCTAGTAGGTC